AAGGTTTTTAGGGCTTTAGGGTTTAGATTTTTAGGGCGTTAGGGTTTTAGGGTTACGGGTTTAGAGTTCAGGGTTGTGGGTTCTAGGGGAGGGTTTTAGGGTTTAGGGTTTAGGGTTCTACGGTTTGGTGTGTTAGGGTTTAGGGCTGTAGGGCTTTCAGGGTGTAGGGAAAGCTGTAGCGCTCTATGGGTTTAGGGGGGGGGGGTTAGGGTTCTTTGGAGGGTTTCCAGAAGAGTTTCTTGTTTCTCTGCTGGGTTCTTTGATCGCCCTATGAATTGGGGTTTTAGAGTTTATAGGGCTTAGGGTTTTGGGTTAGGATTTGTTGAGCGTGTTTAGCTTTGCGATGTATCTGTTTTCTTTGCGCGGCTGCTGCCTGTGCTAGGGACTTCTTTAAGGCAGTCGGTTTAGGGCGACTGACAGGAGCATATAGGGCCGCAGGCAAAATAAAAAAATAACCCTAAACTCTGGATGTAAACCCTAGGCCCTAGACTAGACTTTAGACCCCGGCTAAAATAGCCAGAACCCTTATTAAGCCCTATAAACCCTGCGTAAACTCTTCGCAGCGAATCTAAACCCTAAACCCTAAACCCTAAACCCTTGTCCTAAACCCAAGCACCCTTATTCCAATCTTCTCAAGCCGGGACCCTGAAGCAAGAAGGCTCAACAAATTAGAGACAAACCCTTGGGAAGGATTTGAACCAAAGCCGGGCCGGAACTCCAAGCCACGTTTGCGCGACGCTCTTTTCCTTTCAGCACCAGAGAGTGGACTAGATTTCACGGGTTATGTCAGTTTAGGTTATAAGGTTTGGGGGGTAAAGTTTTTAAATTAGGGTTATCTTCTTTTGTCGTTTCTCATGATGCAACCGAATACAGAACTTACAGGGACCCTACAAAACAGTAGGGTTGGGTTGTTGAAGGTATAGACTTATGCCCGTGAAGAGTCTGAGTCTTACTGTATAAACAAGATCCCGGCGTCGCACCTAGGCAGTAGGCATGGGGATGTATCGAGTCTAGGATTTCGTCTTCGTTATCTGGCGCTTTTTGGGTTTAAGGTTTAGGGTTTTGGGTTTGGTCATTGCATTTAACATGATTCTTGAATACAACTAATCTTTTACTTAGGGCTTAGGACGTAGCGTTTGGTACTTGGGGCTTTTCACGCTTATAATCGGTGTTGTGAGACTCAGGACGTGGATGTGATTCCTCTCATACCACTGGACATTCGCGAGAACGAGACTCGCCTAATTTGAGGATGGAAGAGTATAGCAACCGGAGCTGCCAAGTACCCTGTCAGTGGGTTTATAAATGGCTATCGTATTGACAGGTGGAAGAGAGGGTTGTTACGAAAGTCTTGTTGCTTGCAACGCAAGCTCTTTGTCCGTGAGTGCAGACAGGAAACCCAGCAGCACCACGAGCCCGGAAATGACATCTCAAAGCCCCCGCCAACTAGTCGTGCATTGGGCCTGCGATGTGTAGGCTTGGGCGGCTTCGGTTACTGTAGCTTGCGGACACGACTTACCATTTTGCGCCATGTCGGATGAGGATGTCGTTGGCCTTAGTCGAATTATGAAGGCTTCTGCAGTACTTGTGTGAGGTTTTGCGGTTTCCTTGCAGCCAGGCTTCTTCTGTTAATGTAGCAGATTACCATATGTGAGCTGCATATTCCGTGTCGAGTCGAGGAATCATCTGAAACCATCGCTGTGGTAAACGCCCACAGATGCTTTAGGGTTCAGGGTTCACTGTCCACGCGGAACCCCTTATGTAACAGCAACCCGATAGTTAAATCCACCTGTGGCTCGCCCTAAACCCTAAACCCTAAACCCTAAACCCTAAACCCTAAACCCAAAACCCAAAACCCAAAACCCAACCAGCTCAGCACCCAGGAGTGGGGGGATGCCTTCAAGGGGGCAGCGCAGAATGACCTCGGTGAGCTGGCTGCTTGGACAAATCCCTACGGGCCCCTGTATCCAAATAGGGTTCAGGGTTTAGGGTTTAGGGTGTGGGGTTTAGGTGTTTAGGGGTTTGGGGGTTTGGGGGGTTTTAAGGGTTTAGGTTTAAGTTCGCATATAAAATTAGTCTCTATATAGGTACTTTTGGGGGCAAAAGCATATTCTATTTTGGCACATGGACTCTTAGGGAAACGGGCCTAAACCCTAAACCCAACACCCTGCTATCAATCTTCAGTCGTTCTAGTCTAGAGCTGATTCCGTAAACAGTAAGCTGGCTTAGTAAGCTTCTGGTTTGGGGTTTAGGGAGGAGCCTGTAACGTGAACAGTCAAGCTCGAGTCTTTGCTAACGCAGTGATCTGATGCTAAGTGTTCCAAGTTCTCGCAACTTCAAGCCGTCAGGCGTTTATAAAGCCGGACGGGGTGCACCTTGCCTCAACCGTCTACTGCCCATGAATAGAGCCCACATGCCCGCTATTGATAATTTCTAATTCTGCGAGTGGTTATGTTTGAAGGGCTGCTTGGGTTCAGGAAACCCTGTAAGCCAAGCCCAGACAATAAGCAGAGCTTTCCCTGAAGCTTTCACCTCTAGAAACCTTAAAGTTACAGCATGGCGAAGTCCTACCGTCAGAAAGCTTGGAGTAGATGTATATGTCAACAACGAAAGCAGGCTTGTCCTAACGGGGGTAAGATTTAGCACAGGTATATCGGTGCCAAAACTGACAATGGGAGTAGCTTTGCTCTTTGAGTGGGAGTCATAGTGTAGTTGTGAGTTGAATTGACTGAGCAGAGAGAGACTGTCACGAATCATTCAGATGCCGACGCGCTATTTGGGTTTGGGACTGCTTTCCGGTATCCCTTCAAAACCGCGTTGAATGGGATTGCATTTTTGCCGTGGTGAGTAAGTACTGGACAAGAACTCACGGCCCTAAACCCTAAACCCGAAACCCTAAATCCTAATAAAACAGAATCCCCTAAACCCGAGACCCTTATCGGAGTTCTGCCATCCCCGCTCAGGCCCAAAGAACCATCATCCGCAATGCTCCCAAGCCCGAAAGCCCAGGCCCACCAAAAGATCCTGAGGCCACATATCTTTGAAGGTATCCCTTTGTTCTCCAAAACCCAACCTTTAAACTTTTTTGGGTTCGTAGAATAACTTAGTCGTAATCTGAAAGTTTAACCATTAGTTTCACCTGGTGGGGAAGTAAGATTCTCGACTTGCCTGCCTCAGAACAGTTCGGCCTGGACCTGGACTTCTAAGCCTAAACTCTCTCTAAACCCAGTATAAAACCTCATTTTGAAACCTTCAACTAACCCTAAGCCCGGTATAAAGCCTCATATGGAGCCCTTCAATAAGCACTTTTTTTTTCAAAAGCGTTTGTGTTAATCTTCGTAAAGTCTCTCAAAGCCTGCAAATCTCGAGCCGCAGACCCGGAACCCTAAAGCCCTTCGCGAAAGCCCGAAACCTGAACCCCGAACCCCTGCACCTTAAGCCCTAAGCCCTGTAAACTTTAAACCCAAACCCCCAAAGCCCCAAATTCCCAGAACTAAACAACCTAAGCCCTAAAACCGTACTATTCCTGTCGAATTGAGCCCTCAACCCCGAACCCGTATCCCGAAACCACTTCAGGCCGAAACGCTGCTCAGCCCTACAACCAAAACCAGCGCCCCTAAACCCTAAACCCTAAACCCTAAACCCAAAACCCTAAACCCACCAGCGCTGAGGATTTGGACCTCGCTTTCCGGGACGAGCTGGCACCACCCATCCTTGAGTTCCTGGGCATCTGAAGCAGTTGTTTTTAAGGGTTTAGGGGTTAAGGGTTTAGGGTTTAGGGTTTAGGGGTTTAGGGGTTTAGGGTTTAGGGTTTAGGGTTTAGGGTTTTAAGGTTGAAATCATGGGCCCGTAGTATGGGCCCTTAACCCTTGGATCCTTATACTCTTACTACATACCCTACATGTACCCGTAAGGGTCCCCAAAGGGGCCTAAGCGTCTATATTAGGGGCCCATACTTCCAACCCTAGATTTTCCTTTCTTCACCAACAAAAAAAAGGTTTCGGGTATCGGGTTTAGGGTTTAGGGCTTTACAAGAAAATGAAGGTTCCTTCCTGGGGTTCCTGCAAGGGTTATATATCCAGGGTTTCTGAGCATGTTCATTTAGCAGGAAGCCCTCCGGCAAAGATTCTGCAGTAAAGGCTTCTAGGGATGTGTGTGTGGCTTTAAGGCTCTGTTGGGGCCCTAAGCCCTAAAAGCCTCGTGAACCCTGGCAGATTAGAAGGGCTCTAGAAAATTTTGATGAGGTCGGTAAGGCGTTGAGGGCTTATACTGTGCTAGGGTTTAGCGGGCCACCTACTCCCTTAAGCCCTAAACCGTAAACCCTCGAGACCAAAACGTTTTCTTTTCAAGTCTCATGCTATGTAGCATAATACTGCCACAGAAAGACAAAAAAGCTGGGCACACCTCGAAAGGCAACCATCGATAAGCAAAAACACATGAACAAACATGAGGACAAGCAAAACACGAAGCCACCCTACAAACCCTAAACCCTAAAGGACACGTAAAGCAAAACCAACAAACCCGGGCACCAGGAGAGGGCCAGGCTTCAGCCGCACCCTTTACAGCTCCCCTAGA